ATACATACATACATACATACATACATACATACATACATACATACATATTCTTTCCAGACGGGTGCAATGTCTCATTTCTGTCTGCAAAGAACCATCGTCCACGGGGACTTTCCCGTGGTCCTTTTCCCTCGCTTCGTCGCCACCTGGCAGACCGAGCTTTCCGCCCACTTGGCCCTCCCACATCCGACTTGAGGCTCTTGGACCTCACGTGGCCAAGGGGCGAGCACGTGGCCAGGGGGAGGAGGAGTGAGGACAAGGTCTTCTCCGACAATGGCCATACACTATTCCAAGGGTGACAACTCTGCACATCCAGAAAGTACATGTTCGTGACGTCCTCTCTCTATTCCTATCGCTTTCCAAGCTCTGGAGCTCTCCGGCTCAAAAAATAAAATATGTCATATGTCCTTTTTAGACCGCTATAGGAAGACGTACCCAGGGGCTCAAGTTAGCTACTTAATGGATGCAGGATAGCTCACGCTGACTCACGCTTCTTCAAGGAAGCTCCCCGCGCCTTCCTTGAAGAAGCGCTCGCACTAATGGTTCCCGGGCTTTTGGGGAAACTTATCCGAGAATAGACCCGTGTCGTCTGAGAAACCCGTGTCGTCTGAGAACAGACCCGTCTCATCCGATCAAAAACATCCCTATGTCCTGATGGATGAAACTCAACGGCCTGTTCATCGGTTTTGCTTGAGGCACTTGAGGCTCCTGCACACCCAAGCCATCGGCCTGGCGGCTGGACCAGTCACCCTGGCCATCCCTAGTGGCTCAAAGCCATCTCCACAGGAGTCAGACCTAAACAGTGGCTTAAGCGTGGGTTGGGTCTCTGGCTGTGTGTATCTATAGATGAGTGTATCTGTATCCTTTGTATTTCCAGTGTAGTTCTCTCATCCAAAAGGTGAGTCTGATATACTCTCTCATCGGCCAAGAGACGTTGAATGATGTTGAATGTACTATCCCGATCTCATCATTTGCAAACTCTCTGTCTCTCATCCCAACTCAACTTGGACTCTTGGAAAATATCATTATGGATGATGGGCCCAGTCAAGGATTAACCGCGAATTCGCAATGATCAAGCTGTTGGATGAATAAGGTCTGGTCCCTTCTCAGGCAATGAAAGGAGATATGGCGCCTTGTTTAAATCGTGCGGCTTGCTCGGTTTAACTGGCTTCGCATTCGCGAAACACCTTGGCACTACGGCCTTTTGCACAAGTGCGAAAATCCGAAGCATGAAGCTGGCAAGCCTAAGGATCTTGCTTGCTTGGCCTAGGTAAACGTTGAAGGAAAGTGATGAAGCAATCCATAAAGGATCGCCAGCAACCAGGCAAGATCCCTGCAGCTTCACACCGCCCTGGTGTGTGGCAAATAGCTGCCGCCGGCCAAGCCGTCAACAATTGGATACCAATGTCCAGGTGGTACAACTAAGACCTAGGAAAGCTTTTTCGAAGGCGAACGGCTAGTTTCAAAGTCCCACAAGGCCTGTGGCCAAATGTCTTAGTTGACACCACACTCTCACGAGGAACCTGAGTCATACCCTTACGTTCCCCTGTCATGCAAAAAGATTGTGATTTGCACGAGGAGGTCCAAATGAAGGTTCCACTGGTTGCCTTTACGTTCAGCAAGTCTGCCTACTTCAAGAGCCCTAATTGCGGAACATGACACATCACAGGGTGCATCTTTATCCTTCCAAATCCCCGCGAAAAGACCATGAACCTTATTCCCTGAACCCCTTGATCGACACTCACCCATAGCACGCGTATCAGCTGGCGGCACATTTGCCACACTCACCCATAGCTGCAAACCAACTGCAGTCTTTCGATGGGACTGCATCCAGGGGGCCTATATAACGAACGAGTAAAAAGCGGATTCTGCGTGGATGACCCGCACATGAACGGAGCTCATGCACGGGAATAAACTCTCCTTCAAGTGGAATGCAAGGTCACTGGTCGAATTACCAATATCGTACATCTGGATGTCACAAAATTTTCTGCCTATGTGGTGTGTGTGTGTGTGCGTGATGTTTATAATGTGTCAATGAGGCAATAAGTGCTAGATATGCATGCAAAATTGCAACAATTAAATTCCGTGTGTATATTTTTATGTATGTATCATGTACAAATTCATCGGCACCAGAATCAGCGTAGATCAACAACGCGTAGGTCTACAGTACAAACATCACTGGTTTGCAAGAAGCAGTAGAAGCAGCTACTGTAACTGATTGTGACACTGACATGTCGGGTCAAGACACTTGGGACACCTGTCTTTGTGGAGGCATTAGGATGATGTATCTGGAGACCACCCAAGAAATCTATTGACATGCCCATGATGCCGATGTCAACACCTCATCATTTGGAGGACCCAGATGCAACCTCTAGTGACTCAGCACATTGGCTGCTTCTCTTGGAGCGTAAGATATGATTTAAGTAGGGTAAATTTAAGTAGGGTAAACAACAACTGCAACCTGTGTGCACGTGTTTGGACAATGTATGTACACAGTGCGTGTTTCTTGCATGTCTGCCCAATGTCCGCCGCACCCACAAAAATTTAAAAAAGCGGTCATGGTCATAGTGTTTGCATCATCCCCGTCCCCACCCTCCAGCATCATGCCAGCTGCATTGTGGGACAAGGAGTATTTCTAGCACCAAAAGCTCTTCAGCATTGCATCTGCAGTTCAACATATATCTAATACTAATATTGATATACTTGTCTGTATACATATAATATAATATATATGTTTTTATATATTGTGTGATTAACATCATACCATATACTTGCACTCTATGACTATGTAAGCAGCGGGTCAAGATGCATCACTCCAGGGACTAGATTACTCCTGGGAGTAGAAACAACGGCTTGGGTAGAGTTTACAAATCCCGAGACAGTACTCTACTTTGCCACTGCAATGGTAGAGTGTATAGGGATGTCTATATACAGTAAGTCAATGAATACATTTTACATTCTTACAGCAGTTCGACATATCTACATAATACAACTGTTGCCAAGCATTCCACAAGTCCAGTCTACTATTGTCTTTGACTCGTTAGGAGTCTGCCAGCATGGAACATCCGTGGTAGATTTCGGTGGACCACCCAAGCATAGGTACCGTGCACCCAAGGACCAGCTGAGCTATTCCGGTCCAGCGCATAGGTCCATGAAATGAATTTAGATCCTGTGCGGTTCTTCGAGGGATTCCCACCATCGTTAAGACCAGTTTGTACGTTGTACTCGGTTGGGATTTGGTAAGAAAAGACTATGTCAATGTCTGTCAAAAGAAGCAGACTGCGGAAAAAGACATAATACGGGCCCACGATGTGATCCAAGCTGATCGTGCGTTAACATGGTATGTCGGCTTTGTCACAGATCGCTTGCAGAATGGTCTATTCCTTCTGGACAACACTTGGAAAAAAGAAAAGAATAGCAACATGGCCAAATGCCTGAACAGCATGCTTTCTTTGATGTGCGACGAAAATAGTGATCCAGTTCGGGAATGCTGACACACGCTGCCGATCGTGAAGCCGATACACGCTGAGATATATTGGCCAGATTGGGCTTAAAGCTGCAACCCCTGAGGTAAGACTTGCTCAAATAGAACCCGGACGTCGCCCTGGTTGGCACAGAAAGACTATGACTAAGGCTGCCTCACCTTATGGCTCCAGCGTCCCAAACAACCAGACCGTACCCCATCATTGACGCGTGAACGTTCCAGTTTGGTATAATTATGTATCCTTATTGCGCTGATGTTGGCTTGAAGTGAACCCGTGGAATCACCACACACTCGAACGTTCCCCCGTGGAATGACTTTTCACACGTTCGGGTCGTGAATAGGGGGCCGTGGCCTCCGCTGGGTTCTTGGGATCGCGTCGCCCGGTTCTCAGGTTCCCAAGGACCATCGTGCCCAACGGATTGGGGGTAGCGTGATGGAAACCGCGACTGGTTGGATACCCTGGTTTCAGGGGTCGCCGTTCGGTGGGTTGAACAGGGATCCCCCACGGTCCAAGATGACGCATGTTCGACACCCGCATGAGACATCCATCTCGGGGGTGGGAGACTGGGAGATGTTGGTCACGGTGCCGGCTGCGCCCTTGTTCCTAGTAGCGATGCCAGGAGCCCCTAGTAGCTTCTTGTTCCTAGCAATTAGCGATGCCAGGAGCCCCTAGGAGCTTCTTGTTCCTAGTAGCGATGCCCTTTGCTCCTAGTAGCTTTTTGTTCCTAGTAGTAAGGCCACGAGCCCCTAGTAGCGTCCTTGCTTCAAGAAAATCTCCGATCTGATTCATGTCATGGGATTGCAGCCACCCTACTCGCCACCATCCCTATTCGCCACATCCCGTCGGGTCTTCTTTTTTCGTCGCCGCTTCTCAGCCTCAGGCTTTTCCTCCTTTAGGGGCACATACCAGCACCAGATGGATGTTGCAGTTCTCAGTTCGACCCATGGACTGGAAAAAGCATGAAAAAGATACAGCCACAACCAGTCTTTGGGATCGAAACGGTTCTAACCTATCTTGGGTCTATGAAGTTTGCAAGAGGAGAGTAGACTGTAAACTGGGTGTCTTGAAACAGGGTGATTCCCGCAAACTACTTGCAAAAGGGGAAAGGATTGAATATCGAACATATGCAAAAAATTGCACATGTTGCGAGCAAAACAATGTCCTGGCCTCGCAAACCCTACCACTAATCACTAATCATTAATCACTGATCCCTTCAAAATGTCCAATCAGTCTCGAGGCTAAAACCAAATGAGGGTCTGATTCGTTCTGCCAAAATCAGAGATTCCACCCGAGCAGTCCTTAGCTTCCTGCTCCTCTTCAACACCTGCAAGCCTCACCACCGGTTGTGTGCCTTGGTGCCATGAATTCGGACCCAAAAATGCCTCTTCTCCAATGGTTGAGGCAGGAGCGGCAAAACTTCAACAGCTGGAATCAAACTCAATGACTTCGTCACCATTTTGAAAGCCAGAAAACACGAATCTCCAGGGAATGGCGTGATCTGTTCGGTGTTTCAGGTGTCAGGTGTGAGCCATTCCGCTGTCATCATGGACAACCTCCATCGAATCGTTCGCGTCTCCTGGCTGTCGTCAGCCATCCCAACTCAGCTTTGGACCAGAGGTGTCCCTCTCTTTCGAATCTTTCCCATGCCTCCTCTCTTTCTTCCTCAGCGCACCGAGTTCGATGCGACGCCTGAGGAAAGTGGAACATGTTCGTTAAACATGGACTGGGGTTCTAAGTAATTACAAAAACTTCACGTACGGCGGAAGGATTGAAGGGTTCCAGAATCTGGAATTGAGGGGGAAATCAAGCACTGCTCTTTTCAGCCAAAAATCTCTTTGTCATCTCTGCGCTCTCTATCTCTGTGCTTGTCCCTCCTCTTCCTTCTCGACTCCTCATTGACCACCTGCGCGGCCTGGCGCTTGTTGTCCAGCTTCAAGTTCACACAGTGTATTGACCACCGAAAACTCTTTTGTACTCGGTTTTAAAAAATGTTATTATATACACTCTTGTAACATCTCTCCGCCACCACCGGCGCTGTTTGCGCACCTCCGTGGGTGCCTCCTCCGCCGCCTCGGTGGGCACCTCCGGTGTCTCCTCGACAGGCCACTCCTCTGGCGGCTCGGGCATCACGGAGCTCCGCGAGGCCCGTGGCCCGTCGGTCTCGACGACCTCGTCCGGGAGCGGCTCGGGGACTGGGGACGTCCCATCCTCAGCACGGTCCGAAACAACGACCGGTTCGGGTCGGTTCGGGCCAGGAAAACAGCGGAAAGCACCTGGAAGGGTAAGGCCAGTTTAGGCTAGGTCATATCAAGTCCACCTCAAATATATCCTCAAAGCATCCAAAGATATCCAGTGGCTTGGTCTTGAGATGCCAACCAAAGGTGGACATCAACATTGAGTGCCAATGTATGAGTTTTACATTGTTTTACTAGGTTTTACTATGTTTGACTGATGTCCTGTAGGTCCTCTCCGCCCGGGGAGTGTTCCACGCCCAACCTGTGCACCGAAGCTGGACGAACACCCAGACCAACTGGCTGCTGAAGCCGTGCGTTCTGCTCATCTAATCCAAATGCAGTCCAAGCAGCATCTGGGCCCTGTTCTCCGCTACTTTGTGGTTCCTGTTGCTCCGTGGAGATTTGTGACTTTGCAGAAAACTACTAAGATGGACCTTTTTTGAGTCTGAGTGGTCTGGGTCAATACCTGCAATCCCTGTTTCCCTGGCTATGCCCAGCAAAGCACTCATGCATCTGAAAGTATGTTGATCGACCGCGGGGCTCCAAACAGCCCTTGCATGCCCTTGCTGCATCCTTCCCCGGTGTTACCAGGACAAACACGAAAAATCTCGAAGGTAGCCCGGGGCTAATTGTTCTTCGAGTCGCTGCTTCACAACAACAATGCAAAAATAAGCATGCACTGTCGAGACTGTCATGGTTGCAGTGATCGAAAGGTGAGCCAGCTTGCCCTAAGATCGCAAGCAATGTCAAGGTCATAGATAAGGGAACTAAGTGGACATGCTGCATTCCGAAATCCCTGTTCAACCACAACTTCTGAAAGCTCCAGATTTTAGGGGTGTCAGCCTTCATATCAAAAGGCTGTCAGCAACAACCTGCAGAAATAAAAAGCAAATCGTGACTTATCAAACGAGCCTGTGGCCCTAGAGCGTTTATAGAACCAACTCTGCTAATTAAGGAGGTAATTACGCTTCACTTGATGAGGCAAACAGAGCCCTTGCTGGATCCAACAGCAACACCCGTGTTAAACAGCCCCTCCCAAAGTAGCAGGCCTTTGCTGGAGTTTTGAATCCCAAAAAAATTATCAGCCTGGCATTCCATGGTACTCCTATGCAAATCAGATTGACTCATTGATCGGATTCAGGGGCACTGACCCAAATATGGTCCTCAGGAAGCTTCGAGAAGTCTTTCTTCTTCCTGGGCACAGCACATGGCAAAGGCACTGGCAGTTTCACATCGTGTTTAACAAAAGCCATAGGCCATAGGCCTAAACCTGCAACAAATCTTGCAGCAAATGAGCACAGAATCTTCTTGTCGAGCACCAGTTGCTACTAGTAGAGACTGATCTGCAAGTTGTTCGGCAATACGTTTATTGTATTCGATTGGCGGCTGAGCAATAAGTAGACATAAATTGACGTTCCAAGTAGTCCAGCTTGCCTGGGTGTATTTTAGCTACCAGTCATTTGGCAAGGATTTGGTATTCTTGCTTCATATCCCTTTCGTGTCGCTTCACTACAAACAAGACAGAAATTGTCACCACAGAAGACACTCATCAACCAAACACTCTAAGAGACCTCTGAAGAGACCTATACCTGGCGCCTGGGCTCCTGGATTGGCCCTCAAATCTCGGAATCCTCTTTGGTTCCGCCATTGTTCACATGTGTTTTTATCTGCGATCGATCCATCACATCCGCCCCTCCTGCAACCCAAATCCCATCGAAACAATCCATGTGTCCAGATCTTAATTAGGTTGGAGGCCATTGCTATTAGGTTGATTGATGCGTTGACAGACCATCCACCAAATCCTTCAAAACTCTCCAGTGTGACTCTTTGTGTGTCTTTGCGCCCGGGCTTTGTTATCTTCAGGATCACTGGCGGCTCTTTCACACCAATCACCGGTTGTTGGCCTCGAAACGTGCGCCGGTGATCACTGGCGGTGACCGGCAGAGCCTTGCAGAGTCGCAAAAGGCTTCCAAGAAGGTGAGGAGATACAAACGGATACTTCATGATACATCCAAACCTGGGTGTCTTAACAGGTAAAGACTTATTTAAAAAGCCAAAGAACAAACAAACAAACAAACAAACAATTGTCAGAGATTCTTGTTTGCGAAACGCCTGTCTTCATGGTGTCTGAATTCTTCAGGCCGCAGGATGAGTATACCGCAGTATACCGTATACCAGCACACAGGATGAGCTCCATCCCAAATTCCAAGAAGTATTGTCATCTATCGAAGACTCCGGGCAGCCCGTCCAAAGAAGCCACGTCTGCAGACCAACACCCGAGAGGGAGGGCAACTGTAACAATAAACTTACACAGTACCTAACGCAGACGCACCCATCCATCCTCCTGAAGTTTGGCCGACATATCTAACTATATAACAACTGTAATCTAACTACAACTAAGCCCTTCAAAAGGAAGACGAAGATAAGGTTTGGCTCCACGCACAAAAATCTGACAAGAAAAACACAAAATGGTCTTGAAATGTCACTTTGTTGGTTTTGTTGATGATGCTTCAACAAAACTAAAAATAAGCCAGGTGAACGGAAACCAGGTCCAGCTGAACCTCGAGAAGCAACTTTGGGATAGGTCCCTCCTTGCTTTCCATGGGCACACCAAGCTTGCTACACCGAGGGCCGGCCCCCTTTCTTAGATATTCGTCATTGGCCCGCATTTCCACCTAATATTGCGATCTGGGTAGCTTACCAGACAACCCACTGAATCATGCGAAGTCCTTGGAGCCGCTCTCGTTTTGCTAGGAGCCGCACTCGGCTTCTCGCTGGGGTTGGGGCCTTGTTGTAGAACTGCCGTCCTCAGCGAAGCGTGAGCATCGGTGAGCAAACCTGTTTAATCCCTTTTCATTGGCACTCCTGACAGAAGAAAGGAGAATCCAAAATAGTAGGTGGCAAAGCTGTTCTGAGTTACAACCCAAGCTCCATACCAGTTGTGCACTAAAAACTTCAACATCTGACTCTCATCGGGTAGATCAAAGTGATCTAAGTAAATGAAGTGAAGCTGGAAGAAATTCAAATATATATATATATATGTGATATATATATATATGTGATATATATATAATATATATATATGATATATATATATGATATATATATATGATATATATATATATGTGTGTTACATACATACATACATACATACATACATACATACATACATACATAC